CCTTTTATGTCAAACCACCGCAGTGTTTGCCTTCCCCCTCTTCTGGCCCTTCGCTTCTGGTCCGCATTATCATCCCGGGCCCTTACAGCTCACCCCCCCACCCCCCCCCCGCCCCCACCACGCGACCGCGCCTTGACTGTTCTTGTTGTTGTTGTTGTTGTTGTTGCTGCTGTTGTTGTTGTTGTTGTTGTTGTTGTTGTTGTTGTTGTTGTTGTTGTTGTTGTTGTTGTTGTTGTTCTTGCTGTTGGTGCACCATCGACCTCAAGAATCTTATGCACCACGCGTGCCTCCGAGACTCCATGATCCATGCATCACCTCAGACACTGCGACTTCCCAACGCTGGGGCCTTCTCAGCTTTTAATACGGACCGTTGTAGTTGAACCTCTAATTTACGCGAGCCTGATGCCAGATGGACGAGAAGAAGTCGATTGAGGAGGAGTGCAAGGAGGAGGAGAAGCGCCTCGATGAGGTAATCACACACACGCGTACAAACACAAACACAGACACAAATACACGCACTGCTCATACCCACTGAACACAGACACACGCCCTGGACACATACACAAACAATGAGTGTCCCGAGAGCCACCACACCAGTGTAACCTCACAACCATTTTGCCTTCCTCTGCTCTCCCCTTGTGTTCCCCCTCTCCCGTGTGTGTGTTCGTGTGTGTGTGTGTGTGTGTGTGTGTGTGACTACGTGTGTTTGTGTGTCTGTGTGCGTGTCTGTGTGTGTGTGTTCTTCTTTGAGGATACCAGATTTTCCTTGTTGCGTTGTGTTTCCAAATATCCCTCTCCCTCACATTGCATGCGCGCGCGTGTGTGTTTAGGTTGCTGAGCGGCATGCGCTTGAGGCGCGGCGGCAGCAGGAGGCCGTGGAGCGCCCCGCCGCAAGAAGGAGAGGGAAGAGGCAGAGGCAAAGCGCAAGGTCAACACCAACCCGCATGCACACCCTCCTCTATTCCTCGTCAACACTGCACTGTGTGTGTGCGTGCGTGTGCGTGCGTGTGTGTGTGTGTGTGTGTGTGTGTGTGTGTGTGTGTGTGTGTGTGTGTGTGTGTGTTTCCGTGTGCACTATTGCTCACCTTGCTGCTTTCCACTCTACCCTTCTTCCCCCCCCCCGGGCCTCGACAGGCAATTGAGGAGATGCAGCGGACGCGTGAGGAGCAGATCTGGGCGAAGCAGCAGTACATGGCAATGCAGGCGCAGCAGGACATGGCCGAGTTTGAAAACGTCCTCCAGTCGCAGCAGCAGATGATCGAGGCCGAGAAGCGCAAGGAGCAGCAGGAGCAGGTGCGTTTCTTTCTTTCTTTCTTTCTTTCTTTCTTTCTTTCTTTCTTTCTTTCTTTCTTTCTTTCTTTCTTTCTTTCTTTCTTTCTTTCTTTCTTTCTTTCTTTCTTTCTTTCTTTCTTTCTTTCTTTCTTTCTTTCTTTCTTTCTTTCTTTCTTTCTTTCTTTCTTTCTTTTGGTTGTCCTTGTGGTCAATCCATCCCCAATATGTATGACACGTGCCTGTTGCTTCTTGTTGTTGCTGCCGGCTTGTTTTCTGCTTTCCACTCTCCCGCTTGCATTCCTTCTCCTCGCTCACACCCAACACGCGTGCGTACACGAACGTTGTCTCCACAGGGCAAGAAGATGCAGCATGCGCAGGCGGTGCGGCAACAGATCAGCGAGCAGGAGCGTGAGCGCCGCCGTGAGCGCGAGGGCTTCTTCGCCGAGGGCCGACAGCTGCACGAGGAGGCTGAGGCACGCAAGCGCAGGCTCAACGAAATCAAGCAGCGCAAACTCCAAGAACTCAAGGTGTGTGTGTGTGTGTGTGAGTGTGCATGTTTGTGCGTGTGTGTTGATGTGACGATATGTTTTTGTGTGTACATTTGTCTCTATGTTTCTGTTCGTTCGCGCAATTGTTCCACCTGTCTCTATCTGTCTTGCTGTGTGCACCACCCGTTCCTCTCGCCACCCACCAACTTCCTCCCCTCACCACCAATACCATCACCACCCCCTCATTATGCAGGCTCTGGGCATTGATCCAAAGTACGTCGCACCCGTGGAGCGCCTCATCTCTGCCCCAGACAAGCCCAAGCTCTCTGCACCCACCTAACACGCCCAACACACTCGCTCCCGCTTGCCGTTTGTGCTTGTTGGTGGTTAATCTCGTTTCCCTCTCGTGTTGGACGTGTTTCGTTTCCTTTGTTTTCGGTTCATTGTGTGTATGTTTGTTTGTTTGTTTGTTTGTTCTATGTCTCGACAGCCTTGCTTATGTACATGCATGCGTGTCCGGGTATGAAGTCCCCTTGGCGTGTGCTTCTTTCTGTTTTTGGTTTTGGATTGGTTTGTGTGCAACTCGATCAACAAAAGCATATGACGCCTCCACTAAACAAAGCTCATCAAAAATCGCGACACAAGTCACACGACTTTGCTATCGGAGGAAGAAGTTCACACGCACGCACACACACACACTCACTCACTCGCTCGCTCTCTCTCTCTCTCTCACACACACACACACACACACACATACTCACACGCACACACACACACACTCTTTCTCTCTCTCACACACACACACACTCTCTCTCTCTCTCACACACACACACACTCTCTCTCTCCCTCTCTCTCTCACACATGCATGCATCTCACACTCAAAGAATGAGGGCATATTGGCCGAGTGCTCGCGCAACCTCCTCGACGCTCCCATCATCATCATCATCAGCGTTTGCATCAGCATTATCGCCATCGTCACCAACGCTCTCCTCCCCCTTGTCCCCCTCCCCACATGCCCTTCCACCATCACCACTACCTTCACCTTCACCTTCGCTCTCCTGCTGCTGCTCCTGCTGCTGCTCCAACCCCTCACGTGCCTCGGCCAGCTTTGCTTGGATGTGCTGCGTGTGCGGATGATTGGGCCCAGCGGATGCCATCATCCCCGCCAGCGCGCGCTCCATCATCCCAACCGCCTGGCGCTTTTGGCCCATGACGTCATGTAGCGAGCCCATGTTGTACAACGTCAGCGCCGTGGTTGGGTGTTCCTCCCCAACCGAACCCAGCGCAATGTCGAGCGCCGTGTTGTAGTGCTGCAGCGCCTTGTCGTTCTCCCGCGCCTGCGCGTACAGGTCGCCGAGGTTGCGGTGCACGGAGGCCGTGTGTTCGTGGCGCGGGCCGAGGTGCTTCTCAAAGACAGCCAGCGCCTCACGGTACAACTCTGCCGCCTTGTCTGCCTCGCCAAGCGCCTCGTGCGCGCCCGCGAGGTTCACAACGCACACGCCCGTGGTGGTGTTGTCCCGGCCAAGCACCGAGCTGCTAATCTCCACCGCCGTCGCCATGTGCTGCATTGCCGCCTCCTTGTCTCCCATGGCCTGGCACACGTTGCCAAGGTTCGTGTACGCCTCCGCCGTGCGCTTGTGCTCCCTGCCAAGCGTTACCAGCAGCACGGATATGGCCTTCTCGTGCGCGGTGCGCGAAGCCTCGTATTCGCCCAGTCGCCGCAGGCTGCAGCCGAGCCCGTCGTAGGAGAAGGCCGTCAAGGGGTGGTGCTCGCCACGCGTCTCAAGCATGACGCCCACCGTCTCCTCAAAGTTCTTGCGCGCCAGCGTGTAGTTGCCAACAAACTGGTGCACGATGCCGAGGTTGAACAAGGGCTGGGCCAAGCTTTCGTGCTGCTCCCCACGCGCCGCCTTCATAATCTCCACCGCGCGCGTGTTGTGCATGATGGCCTGGTCGTGGTCGCCCAGCCGACGGTACAGGTCTCCCAGGTTGTTGTGCGAGGACGCCAGGTGCTCAGAGTCGGGGCCAAACTGCTGCTCCTTCATCTTGAGCGAGCACGTGTACATGCTCACCGCAGTCTGGTACTCGCCCGTGTCGCCGTACACCATTGCCAGCTGGTGCAGCGAGCCTGCTGCGTTGGGGTGGCCCGTCGCAGTCTCCAGTTTGAAGGCCATGGTCAGCAGGCGAATTGCATCATCAGCGCGCCCGAATTTCTGCAGTGTCGTGCCGGCTTGGAAGCACAGCGCTGCAAACGTGTCTGCCTCCTCCTTGGCTGTCTGGCCCCGAATGACTGGCGGCTCGGCTGCTGTCGATGTCGCTGCGCCAATCCACGGGCGCGATTCCAGCTGCGCATATGCGTCGTCAATGTGCTGCACGAGCGTATCCAGACACCACGCGCGCATCTGGTCCTTCACCTTCTCGTTGAGGGTTTGGAAGCCGACGTTGTCCTCAATTGCCTTGAAGATCATCTCCTTGTCTGCGGCGCTCCACGCCTCGGCCTTCTCTGCCTGCACCCGCACCATTGTGTCGGTGACGGCGTCGCTGTCCTCAAGGATGGTGGCCACCAGCGCCTTGCGCTCCTCGTGTGGCAGGAGGATGGTCAGCTGCACATCCTCCTGGCTCAGCGAGCAGAAAATCTCCCACAGGCACCAGGCTCTCGTCAGTGGGATCGGGTCGCTCCACGGTGTCAGCACCAGCACCACGTGCCCAATCGCCGCAATGGAATCCTTGAACGTCGTACTCCACCTGTGGTGTTGTGGTGTGGTGTGGTGTGGTGTGGTGTGGTGTGTTGTGAGGTTGTTCTTGTTGCGCTGGGTTTGATCAAGCGAAGCACGCATTCACACGCATTCACACGCATGCAAAAGCACATACATACACGCACACAATCCCAGCAAAAATACCAACACACAACCAACACAGCCACGGCCACACGCACAGAACATACACACACACACATACCACTCCTGAGGGAGGTTGGCCAGGATGTTCTGGTTGTTGAAGAAGAGGTCAAACCAGAAGAAAAACTGCTCATCGGGGCGATCCTCTGCGTATTGGATGAGGGCACCAAGCACGTCCGCAATCTTGTATCGCCAAGCATGCGAGACGAAGATGTTGGCGGGCCCCACGTCGCTCGGAGACTCGTCAGCCACGAGTTCCACGTACGCACACTGCCGCGCCTTGGTTCGCGGCAACACAACCAAGTCGCGCGCATCCCGCGTTGTCAGCTCTGCAAACTTGCTGGCGCCTTGCTGTGCTTTTAGCCCGTTCAAGAACCGCTTCAAGAACGCAGCCGACACGCCACGCGAGTCAATCCCAGGCAACTCTTCCTGCGTCGCCATCGCGGTCCGCAATTGCGCGGGGGTGGTGGTTGTTGTTGTTTTGTTGTTGTTGTTGTTGTTGTTGTTGTTGTTGTTGTTGTTGTTGTTGTTGTTGTTGTTGTTGTTGTTGTTGTTGTTGTTGTTGTTGTTGTTGTTGTTGTTGTTGTTGTTGTTGTGTGAAGTGACAACTGCGTCTGCGTGCTGTGCTGAGGTGGAGTGCGGCGATCTGCTGCTCTGCCAACTTGCCTGTCTTTGCCGAAAACAGATGAATGATATCCACTAATCGCCAACAATCGCAGTGACAGAACTGCTGTGAGTGACGTGCTGACTGAGGTGTGCTGTGGTCGGTCGCGAGGAAGCCAGACGGGGGAAAGTGAAGAGCAACGGCATACAACGCCGACGATGCAGGTTTTGACGGCGCTCTCCTACACAGCCATCGTGTCCACGATAGGCCTCTTCCTAACGGGCATGTACGTGTGTGTATGTGTGTGTGTGTGTGTGTGTGTGTGTGTTCGCGCGTGTGTGTTTTTGAGTGTGTAAGTGTGTGTTTGCGTATGCTTTTGTGTGCGTGTGTGTTTGCGTGTGTGTGTGTGAGTATGTGTGCGCGCCTGTATGTGCTCTTTTTTCACTCCTTTGCCAGGATCTGTTGTGTGTCTTCTTTCCTTGTGTTGCTGATCTTGGCTCTGCTTGTTGACTGACGGAATCCCGCACTTCTCGCGCCCCTCTGCCTTCATTTGATGACATCCCGCTGTTGCCAGCCCTGTGACACGGCGGATCAAGAAGGCGCGAAGCTCCGCAAATGTGTCGTACACCCCATACCTTGCGGCCATGATCAGGTGCATGCACATGACTCTGAAACTGATGATCTCTGATGCTCTCTTCACCACAACATGTCTTGGTTGCCTGCTTGGTTTCTCTTGCTTGCTTGGTTTCTCTTGCTAGGTTGCTCGCTTACCTGCCTGCTTGCACATTCTCACCTTCGATCGCAATACCCGCAGCACGTGCTTGTGGCTCAAGTACGGCATCTTGACCCAGGACTACACGCTCATCTCCGTTAACGGCATAGGATTCTTGCTCAACTTTTATTACGTTGTCATCTGCTACTCGTACAGCAAAGACGAAGTGAGTGCATCGACACCTCACGCCTTTGTGTGTATGTGTGTCCGTCTGTCTGTCTGGCTGGCTGGCTGGCGGGTTGTGTGTGTGTGTGTGTGTGTCTGTGTCTGTGTCTGTCTGTCTGTGTGTCTGTCTGTCTGTCTGTCTGTCTGTCTGTGTCTGTGTTGGCAACTTGTGTATCCCCGCCCCCGCCATTTTGAACTGTTGAGTTGTCCAATTGTGCACCACAAATCGTTCCCCCCCCCCTGCTGATGCACTCCTTCATACCGTATCCATTTTTCCCGTTCTCCGTGCACAGAGGGCGTTCTACTACCCGCTGCTCATCACTATAAGCGCCATGTTCGGGCCCCTCCTCTACGTGAAGTACCTGGCGCCAACATACATGCATGTGAGAGATGGCGAACTTCTGCGTGTATTGTGTGTATTGTGTGTGCGTGCGTGTGTAGTGTGTGTGTGTGTGTGCGTGTGTGCGTGCGTGCGTATGTAGTGTGTGTACATTGTGTGTGCGTATACTCACTTGGTGGTGCACTTTGTTCCCCGTCCCTTCATCACATCCATGCTGAAGGCCGTGCATGCCATCGGGTACTGCGGCTGCATCACGTCCACCATCATGTTCGGGTCTCCGCTTGCAACCCTGGTCAGTTGCTCATTTCATACTCTCTGTGTGTCCGTGTGTCCGTGTGACTTTGCTCGCGCCTTTCCCTGCCAACCTCACCTCACCTCACCTCACCTCTTCCCTTCAACCGCCGCCACCACCGCCGCCATCACGGCCAGGGCCGGGTGTTGCGGACCAAGTCCACAGAGTCGATGGTGTTCAGCCTGTGCCTCATGAACTTCATCGTCAGCGTCACCTGGGCCCTGTACGGCTACGTCATCAACGACATCTTCGTCCAGGTCGGGGGGTTTGTGTGTGTCTGTCTGTCTGTCTGCCTGTGTACGTGTGTGTCTGTCTGTCTGCCTGTCTGCCTGTGTACGTGTGTCTGTCTGCCTGTCTGTCTGTGTATGTGTGTCACGTACTTCCTATCTGCAGTGTGCGTGCATGTGTGCGTGCGTGTGTGCTGACTGAGGCGATGTGCACTGCCACCAGGGCCCCAATGCCGTCGGCGCACTCCTCGGCCTCGTCCAGCTCCTCCTATTTGTCAAGTGAGTCGATATATATGTGCGTGTGTGTGTGTGTGTGTTTCGCTCTTGGCTGTGCACATGCTTTCTGTATCATTTAAGGGTTGAAAAGCAAACAGAAGACGCACGGAGGGCGTGCGTGCGTGCATGCATGCGAAGGCACAACATATCAACAACGGCAACAACATTAGCAGCAACAGCACATGCCCCCCCCCACACACACACGTGTTCAAAGACTCAATAAGACACACACTTGCTCTGCAGTCAACTCTCACTCACTCACTCCCTTACTGACACACACGCCATCCCCCCCCCCCCCAACTATCACTTCCACCACTGCAGGTATCCATCCTCGGGCGGGCCTGGCCACGTGTACGACCTGGCAGCGCGGCTCGTGTAGAAAGGATAGCGGCCCTCCAATCCTCTCGTCACGCTTCTCCTCTTCATCAACGCTCCTCTCCTCCACACTCAACAAACGAACATCTTGGGGATGAGCAGAAGTGGATTGACAGCAACACTTGTTACACAAAGAGATGTTTGGATGGATGGATGGTTGGTTGGTTGGCGTTTCCTGTGTAATTGCACGTGTGTGACTATGATTCCTGGGACACGCGCTGGTGCGAGACAGAAAAGGAGAGGGTGGGAGCGGTACGCGTGAGCGTATGCGTGTGCATGAGTGTATGTGTTGGCGAGCAAGAATGAAGTGGTGATAATGCGGTGTGTGCCGGCACAGCGACCGCCCCCCTATTGTTGCAATGACATATTAAACAACCCTTGATTCACGAATCAAACACTTCTCTCACACTGGCGGGCACTGGCAATACCACCACCAACAGCAACGCCAAGTAAAGAGTTACCTCAATGTAGTCTGGGCGCTCCGCAGCGCGATACTCGTGGATCAAATCCTCCGCGCTTTGCCTGCAGGCAACCATGAACACCATGCGAGGTTGAGTGAGAGCACGCAATGAAGGAAATGGCAGGCTTTGAAAGAGACAGAGACAGACAGCGTGTGTGTGTGTGTGTGTGTGTGTGTGTGTGTGTGTGTGTGTGTGTGTGTGTGTGTGTGTGTGTGTGTGTGTGTGTGTGTGTGTGTGTGTGTGGTCTGACCTGGAGTCTTCAAACTCGTCGAGGTTTTGTGTGACGTTTTCTTTGCGGAATTGCTCCAGGAAGGCCTGGGGATCGCATCAAAGTGGTAGTGACAGTGATGATGGTGATGGTGCAGAACAGGGGCTGGTGAGAACTGGACAGAGGAACAGCAAAGGCATTCTCTGCCTGTGGCAACAAGTGGAGAAGCACAACATTCTCACCCAACACACACGCACACAGCAACCCCACCTGCCGCTTCATGAGCTTGTCGTAGTCTGCGCAGGTGCGCTTGAAGATGTGCTGGATGCTGGTGTGGTTGGCGAGCATCAAGCCGCTCACGCGATGTGCAGACGCAAGATACGGCGACCGCTTCGACAGCGCAACCTGTACACACACACACACACACACACACACACACACACACACACACACACACACACACACAGATGCACATACGATTGACATGAGTAGGTGTGTCGTGTTGTGGCCGCCACGTTGAAGAAGGACAAACGAACGAACCATCCACTTTACCACCATCACCACCATCACCACAACCACCGTTGTCATCACCTGAATGCTTGCTGGTCCCCACTCGATGAAGGACGCGAGGCGCCGCTCCCGAATCCGCTGCAGACTCTTGTGCACCTGTTGATCAATGGTGGTGGTGGCGATAATGATGATGATGATGATATAAGAAGAACAGAGCGGTCAACGCAGCTTGGAAAAGGGAATCAAACGCCAGAAACAAAAGCCGATCAACTGTGACAACGTTGCCATCGGCACTACCACCATCCATCCATCTTGCCTGCGTTGGGTCGACGTCTCCCTGGATGATGTTGAGCATGGAGATGTAGCGGTGCGTGTCGAAGCGGCCGCCACCAAGCGACACCATCATGTTCTTTGGCTGCAGCAGCCGGCGCATGACGTCAAGCACCGTCGTCTTGCGTACTGCGCTGTTGGCAATCTTGTCCTTGAAGACAATGGGCGTGTACCCGGTCATGAGGAAGTGCAGGCGCGGCGTTGGGATGAGGCACGACAGCAGCCCAATCAGGTCGTTGTTCATGTATCCGGGGTACCGCAGCGTACTCGTCGACGCAGACATGATCGACGACACCTGCATACACATACACACACACACATGCCACAGGCAGGTGTGGGAGTGAGAGGGCGGAGGGAGCGCATGTCAGTGTGTGTGTGTGTGTGTGTGTTGTGTGTGTGTGTGTGTACCATAACCACTGCCCATGCATCGAGAGCACTCCAACTATGTCCGAAACCCTGCTTCAACCACCATCACCACAATCATCATCATCGCCATCATCACCACCACCACTTCCATAGCCGCACCAGGTGGTTGACGACGGTGACATCTGGCTGATCCATCTGCAGCCGCTCGCACGCAATCCGGTTCAGCGCAAAGTTGTCCAGCACAACCTGTCACACGGCACGTGTGTGTTGCGTTGCGTTGTGTTGTGTGTGTGTGTGTGTGCATGTGTGGTGTTGTGTGTGTGTAAATGGAAGATATGGGCGAGGTTCAATGTGGCTACAAAAGAACTTGTGACAGGACAGTACGCCTGGACAACAACAGTGCGGCAATCCATGAACACGTGTACATATGAACGCACCACGCAGTCTGCATTCTGTGTGAGGCGCTTGAGCGTGAGGATGGTGTTGTAGGGTTGCACAACGACATCGCTCGAGCCCTTCTCTTGCTGCAAGGCGGATGCGCAGAACAAGTGGTGGCGGTGAGGAATTGTGGTCGCAGAGAAAAGAGTGCACGTGCATCGATGGCAGCGGTGTGAATCAACATCGAAACTCAAACCAACAGCAGAGCAGAGGGCGAGGAGATGGAAAAGAGCCACACACAGACACACGATGAGACATACAAAGCAAACACGCAACCATATGTGTGTGTGTGTGTGTGTGTGTGTGTGTGTGTGTGTGTGTGTGTGTGTGTGTGTGTGTGGCTCACGTTGTGGGGGAAGACGGAGTACGTCTGCACGAGCTTCTTCGGGTATCTGTCGTTAAGGCGCTCAAGAAAGTACGAGCCAAGACCAGAGCCCGTGCCACCAGCGACGGAGTGTGTGAGCATAAACCCTTCGAGCGAGTCGGACCCATCGGCCTCACGGTCGATGATATCGAAAATCTCCTCCTGTACGCGCTCGCCCTGCGCATATCCCCGCGCCCAGATGTTGCCCGCACCGCTCCCGTCTGCAGGTGGTCGTGGTGACGTTGTGAATGTGAATGTGTGTGTGTGTGTGTGTGTGTGTGTGTGTGTGTGTGTGTGTGTGTGTGTGTGTGTGTGTGTGTGTGTCAGCATGTGTGAATGTGTGTGTGTGTGTGTGTGAACACGCGTCTGTCGAGCGTTTAATCTCCGAACAACTTGTTCACGCGCCACTGCCCACGACGAGGATGAGCATGTGCACCTGTGGAGCAGAAGAAATTCTCTGGGTTGTACAAGTTCTTGGTCTCTGCAGATCCGCGAATGCCATCAAGCACCTGCACGTGTGCGTTCACACAGGATGAGTGTTGGCACAAAAGGCAGCTACAAACAAAACACGCCAGTGACGACAACATAAGCAGCACGCAGCAGCAAACTGAGGACGCGGTCACCATCAACCCAAACAGCTCTCAGTTTCCGTCACCACGTACGCGGGGCTCGAGATCCACGAGGACAGCACGGGGAATGTAGTGGTCGTCATCAGCCTTTGGGTACGTTCGTGTTCAGGAAACATGGGCGTGTAAAAGTGGGTGAGTACGCCTCACACAAAGACACGCGCACGCAATCACACGCACGAGCATACACGCACACAAAACACACACACACAAAACACACAAGCGTGTACAGGATCGCACCTGGTAGAAGAAGACGTCCTTGCGGTCGGTACCTTCTGCAGCGTACTGTTCGAGGATGCCATCTGTGACAATGTGCACGTGCAAGTGCATGTGCGGAGTGTAGGAGAGTGAGCTGTGAGGGGAGGGGAAGAGCGGGCGAGACAGACAGACAGACAGACAGGCAGGCAGGCAGGCACACACACACACACACACACACACACACACACACACAAGCAGACAGATAGGCAGACAGACAGACAGTGGAACACCTCCCCTGGTTCTGGGGCACCCAACACCGAGGACAGAACAGTGCCACGAGATCATGTCGAACCTGAGTTGATGCCGTGCTCAGCGCAGAGCTGCTTCCAAAACTCGTTGCCAACTGTACGTTTGTGTGCGCGTGAACGAGGTTTGTACCAGTGTGGCTGTGAGGAACGTGGGGGGGGGGAACGGAGACGAGTGTGGCCACGCGAGGTACTCAACACATGGCCCGACTCACTCACTCACTCACTCACTCACTCACTCACTCACTCACTCACTCACTCACTCACTCACTCACTCACTCACTCACTCACTCACTCACTCACTCACTCACTCACTCACTCACTCACTCACTCACTCACTCACTCACTCACTCACTCACTCACTTTGGTTGCCGCATTGGCCCAGCTGGAGCGTGATGAGTTCGCGAGGCATGGTCGCTGAGGCTGTCTGTTTGGGTACGATTGAAGATGCAACGGATGTGGGCCGTGGCGGGTGGTGTTGTGCTGTGGTAGTGTTGTGCGAGGAGCAGTGCTTCTTCCAATAACGGCGACTTTGCCAAAAATGGACAAAACGGTCCATTTTCATCTCCAAACCACAAAAGAAACCGCGCGACAACAGCGGCTATCCTGATTCATCGCACCGCGCTCTTCCTGCCTGCCTCCCTTTGACCTAACCTTGTTCTCTGCCCACACAAACGCACACACACGCACACACGCACGCACACACACACACAATCTCTCTCTGTGCCATCTGCTCGTTCATTTCCGCTGCCACGTGTGGGTTGGGTGTGTTGTACTGCAACGAGAGAACAAGGCTGACCACGAATCGAGAAGAACATCGTAACAAGGCATTGAATCTGTGGTGGAATGGTTGGCTTGATGCCCAACACTTCAATGAAGCGAAAACAACTTCTCAAACCTCTCCTGCAGAGTTGAAACGAAGGCGGCAACAAGAGTACACAAGGGAGTGAGAGGGCAACAACGCAACAACGCAACACACACATGCACACACGTACACAACGCAATACAACACCACAGCACAACACACCACACCACAACACAACACAACACAATGCAACACAACACACCATCGCACCTTCTGTCGCATGGCGAGCCAGTGGTTGATCTCCCAGATATCGGCGACGGGGACGCGGGAGTACGGCAGCGTCTGCTGGTACGTGGGTGGGCCTGATGCAATGCCGTGAAGCATTCAGACCGCATCCATAAACGTGGCGTGAACAGCTGCAACACACACGCGCGCACAGAGGAACAAACGCAGGGGCATGACGCAAACACACACATACACACACAGTCTGATACTGCATCACAAGCTCCTCAACATACCATGCTC